CCCTGGTTGAAATTTAAAATTCCTTATGAGAACATTCAAGATAAATAGATTAATGGAAGAGCAAGAGGAGGAAAGATGATAATAGGATTTGGAAGAGGAAGAGGAATAATAATAAAAAAATGGAATTTGGAAGAGGAAGAGAAGGGGAAAGAGGAAGAGAAGGAAAAATAATAAAAATAAGAGTTGAAGAATTAGATTTAGAAGAGAGGAATAAGAGGTGGAAAAGGAGGAGGAAGCGTTAAAAAATAGGATTTAAAGTAATAAAAATAGGATTTGGGAGAGGAAGAGACAGAAGAATAAGAATAAGATTTGGAAGAGGAGAATAAGAGTTGGAAAAGGAGAAGGAAGGAAAACAAAAATAGGAAAAGGATCAGGAGGAAAAAATAGAAGAGGGGGAAGGAGAATAAAAATTGGAAGAGATAGAGGACGAGGAGGAAAGAAGAGGTGGAAAAGGATGAAAGGGAAGAATTGGAATAGGATGGGGAGAACTGGGAGAGGAGGAATAGAAAAAAGGCAAAACAACTGGTAGAGAAGGAGGAAGAATTAAATAAAAGTTGGAAGAGGGAGAAAAAAGAATAGGAAGAGAAGGAAAATTTAGAAAGAGGGAGAAAGGAAAATTTGGATAGAAGGGAAGAAAGAAAAGAAACTGGTAGAGGAGGAAGAATATAATAAGAGTTGGAAGAGGTAGTGGAAAAAAATAGGAAGAGGAGGAGGAAGTAGAATTGGAAGAGGAGGGGGATGAAGAAGAATTTGGAATGGAAGAAGAAGAAGAGAAGAAGAGAGAGAGAGAGATGGAAGATGAGGGAAAAGAAGGGTTAGAAGAGTAGGGAAAATAAATGGAATGAGAGGTCAAGAATAATAATGATTGGAAGAGGAGGGGAAAGAAAAAGAAAGAAAGAAAGGGAAAAAAATAAACGGCAAGAGGAGGAATAAAAATGGGAAGAGAAGGAAAAAGAAGAGTTGCAAGAAGAAAACAAGGAGGGAAAGGAGGATGAGGAAGAATGTTAGGAAGAAGAGTTACATGCCTCATTGTTCATCAAGATGAATTATCTACGCATGAATATTATACATATTTATACGAATGTATTCACATATACATATACATGTATGTATACATACATACACACACACACACACACACACACACACACACACACACACACACACACATATATATATATATATATATATATATATATATATATGTGTATATATATATATATATATATGTATGTATATATAACATATATATGTATACATATATATATATATATATACATATATATATAATATATATAATATATATATATATATATATATATATATATATATATATATATATATATATATATATACATATATATATATAATATATATATATACATATATATATATATATATACATATATACATATATATATATATATATATATATATATATATATATATATATATATATGTACATATATATACACATACACACACACACACACACACATATATATATATATATATGAATATATGTATATATGTGCATATATATGCATATGTACATACATATTATGTATACATACATACATATATATATATATATATATATATATATATATAATGTATATACATAACGTGTGTGCGTATGTGTATTTCAATGCGTAAGGGTGTATTCTGTGTGCTCACGTTCCTGTATTAACATTTATACAAATATATATGCATAATGTACATATATGCATACATCCACATATATGTATATTTATTTAGATATGTATATATATACATTTGAACATATGCTGTATATAAATATATGTATATACATATATATATATATATATATATATAATATATATATATATATGCGTGTGTGTGTGTGTCTGTGTGTATGTGTTTGTGTGCGTATGTTGTGTTTGCACTTTTGTCCATACAAGCAAATACACATGGACATACGAACACACATATGCATGTATATACACACACACAGTAAATATGTATATTTATACACACACAGTAAATATATGTATATATACACAGTATATATGTCATATATACACACATAGTATATGTATGTATATATGTACATATTTACATTCACACACACTTATACATACATCTGTTATCTATGTATATGTTACACGCACCCAAATTTGTACACACACATACCTATGTTTATACATACATCATATGTATACATATCTATAATATATATATATATATATATATATATATATATATATATAGACACATGTGTATACATTCACATACATGTGTGTATATGTAAGAATTCCTGTATATACATCTGCATCGTCACATGTTTATGGGAGTAAAATATATTTTTTCTTTTCTGTAAAAATGCTGGTGTCTACTTTGTATTGTGGCCTATTTCTAATAGGTGTGATTGATTTAACATTTTTCTGTACCTTCAGGTGTTTTGTGCTCCTGGTGGCTGCCGCTTGCGCGCTTCTGAGGTGGAGAAGCGAGAGGCGGAGCCAAGTCGTGCCTACAGCTATGGCTACGGTCTGACCTACTACCTACTACCCACGCCCCTACTTACCCCTACCGCCCCTCCTACCACCACCACCACAAGAGGTCCGCTGAGCCTGAGGCCGAAGCCGAGCCCTCTTACGGTTCCTACCACTACCGAGGCTACTACCGCCCCTATTCCTATTCCTACCACCCACGCCACTACACTCCCTCCGTCCACTACCACCACAAGAGGTCCGCTGACCCCGTAGCTGAGGCTGAGCCTGGATACAGGTCCTACCAGCCAGTGTACCCTCGCTACTACCACTCCTACCACCCACACTCATACCACTACTCCCCCTACACTCACAGCCACCACAAGAGGTCTGCCGAGCCAGAGGCTGATCCTGGTTTCAGCTACGCCCACCACCGCCAGTCCACATACCATCCCTACCACTACCATGGAGCTCACTATGGTTACGGCTACCACATTAGCCACCACTAAGGCACTGGGAGTTTATTTGACCTGAATTCGCTGAAAAGAATTTTATTTTGAAAAGTAAAAGCAGTAATAAATAAACCTAAAAGAATCTTTTTGTGTTTTAAAAATCCTCGTGAGAATATTAAAGAGAAATAGATTAACACCCAAGGCATCCACACATCAAAATAACGTCAGCAGAGAACCACGAAGACAAACACACATACACAAATAACTACACGAACTAGGGAACCAAAGAGAGACAAGCACATAACTATCACCCATCCATGACCTGTATTCACCGAAAAGAGCAATAATAAATAATTCTAAATGATTTAAATTTCTTCATGAGAGCATTAAAGAGAAATTGATCAATACACAACCAAATCTGATCAACAGAAAACCATAAAGACAAACAAAAAACAGACATGGAAATAACCACACACGAACGAGTGAATCATGGGAGAGACCCACCCAATCACCATCCATTCACAATAGCCACGAAAATAAAAATGGTAATAATAATGATAACAAGGAATAATAATAGTTCGAGTAGGATTCTGGTTGATTTGTAATATGTCATTATGTACTGTATGTGTCAAAATGAAGCGACTTGAACTTAATATGATTTATGGAATGCGACATGAAGCTTAACGTGCGATCGGACGAAACAGAAACCCACTTTTCTCAGTAAACCGTATAAATCGAGACTATTTCGTATTTTCTTTAATTTCGTTCACTCGCGACCGCTCATTTGCCGGCTGCCTATTTTCTACGATTAGTATTTAGTATTACTCACGTGTATTTTCTTCCGTCTCATTTCCGAGAGCTGTCCATGAGTCTATGGGGCTTGGCGATGATAGCAAATATGGCTGTTGGTCGCTGGTTAACACTAATTCTTTTATCAAAATAATTTTAGTCCGTCGTTGAAGTTACTGGATGTTTCGTTCCGTGAATTGTGAGTGAAGATTGCCCGTGATTTGCCCATTGTCACGCGCATTCTTAAAGTGCCCAAAATGCGAATTTTTCCAAAGCTTGTTTGGGTTTCCATGGTAACTGTAGTTGCCAGGTGTTCCCATTTCTTTCATTTCCTAATTTTCTTTATATTCATATACCTGAACAACGAAAAAGAAGCTAAAGATGACACGAAAAAGTAACGAATAGACAAGGGAGATAAAAATACAAAATAGAATCTGCGGGAGACGGTGACATTTTAACAATTTGAAATACAGGAATATAAACATGAAATGTTCTTTCTCAACCTTTCTAATTCTTTTCTTAATCTTTTAACAGGATCATCATGATTTGTTACAATATGTGTGCGTATGTCTTCAAACACACACACATTCATACAAGTGTGTATATATATCTGTGTGTATTCACATACATTATATTCTACAGTCAGGCTTACCTGAGTTTCAAGGGTTCCTATACATTATATTACATTATATACCTGAGTTTCAAGGGTTCCCCTGGTGACGTTTGGGAATCGTTGTTATGAATATTAGCATATCTATGTATCTAGGTATGAACGCTCACATATATACAGACATAGCTACCGACACATATATACTTACATATATATGTATATATACACATATAGATACATACACATACATACATACATATATATATAATATATATATATATATATATATATATATATATACATGTGTGTATACATGCATACGTACATGTATGTATGTATATATATATATCTATGTGTGTATGTGTGTATCTATGTATATATGTACACACACATAAACATAAGGAGATGTACATATGATATATATACATATGTATATATTTATATGTATATATGCATGTATCTATGTATGTATATGTGTATCTATATAGATAGATATGCGAATATCTATCTATATATGTGTGTGTTTGTATACAAATACACACATATATATATATATACAATATATATATATATATATATATATATATATATATATATATATATTATATATTATATATATATATATGTGTATATATGAGTATGTGTGAATTAATGTGAATGTATCTTCATTTTTTTTCAAGAATGACGTATACAATACAT